GTTGTTTGATTCTATATCAACAACAAAACCAAAGAAGGCAAGAAGAAGACAAGGAAAGGCAGTACGTGACATTGATGATATAGTTTGCTTATTAAAGGAAACGGATCCTGAGGACATTCCTATTTTTGTTGCTCGAGATTTGCAAAAACTACCCCCAGTTCTTTTCGATCATGTTGACGTGACCCGTATTTTAAAGGACCTGGTGTGGTTTCGGAGTGAATTGAATCGTATCTCCACTGAGTACGCGCCAGTAAACCAGCTGCAGGAGCTGCAGGCGGAGATTGAAGCACTTAAAAATGCCTCAATTGTCAATAACTTCCCAAGAAATTTAATTGCAAAACGGGACGCCGGTCTACGCACCGACTATGAGTACGAAAGTGGGCCCATGGGGCTATCGCCTGTTTGTGGTATGCATACATCCACAGAAACCCAAGCTACTGTGATGACACCCATCTCGAAACAGCGTAATTTGACGTCAAAAAGGCGTAAAGTTAAATCTCCGCGCGTATTTACTACCCGAACGGTGCCTGACAGCCAAGAGAAAACAGCTGATCGCTCGCCGACTGGCGATGTGATGACTGGTAACGCTCCAGTACCTTCATCTGTCGCCAGCTGTACGTTTAACAGCGACCCTCCGCCACCGTCACCGCCCCTGCCGGCGGCTTCCCCGTATGTTAGTAACGACAGTAAAAAGACGTTCTCTGCGATTGTGCAGAATGGACGGCCGAAGAAACAGTCCAGTACTGTCCAAGAGGAGTGGACTTTGGTTCAAAAAAAAAGGAGACTGAGAAATCGTTTTGTAGGAAGTACAGGAAAAGCAATTCTCGACTTAAATAGTAATTTTAAGGCAGCGGATATTAAAGTGCCAATATATGTATACAATGTGTCTAAAGAGACAACTGAAAGTGACATCAAAGCTTATTTACTGCAAAAGACTAACTTAGACATAAAGATTGATAAAATAAACATGAAATTAAGTAAGGACTATAACGGGTACATAGCTTTTGTACCAAAGCAAAAGCTAGAATTATTTTTGAAAGACGATTTCTGGCCCGAAGGTATTTTATACCGCCGTTACTTTGATTTTAAACGAAAGCAGGGTACGCCTGCTTATCGGGAGATAAATGGAGCTAATTTATCAATTGATGGATAGTACAACTACGCTTGTAACGTTCAACTGTAAGAGTGTCATCAGGTCCGTAGAATGTGTAAGAAAGTTATGTAAGGAGGCCGATATAGTTGCGCTTCAGGAGACCTGGCTGTTGCCCCATGATATACAATTCGTTGGTGGTATTGATGACGAATTTTCGTTTACTTCGAAGTCGGCTGTCGATACGTCAGATGGCGTACTCAGAGGGAGACCTTACGGTGGTGTCGCCTTACTCTGGAGAAAAGCGGTTTTTCCCTCTGTGTCAGTGTTACCGTGTAGAAGTGTGCGCCTAGCGGCGATAAAGCTTGTGCTCAACGACCGGTCTATGATAGTGATATCTATTTACATGCCTACTTGTTCTATGGAAAATTTAGCGGAGTTTACGGATTGTTTAAGTGAACTAAACGCAATAATTGAAAGTAGTGACGTGGAATCGGTATTTATTCTGGGTGATTTCAACGCGCACCCAGGTGAGCTGTTTTCTAACGAACTAATAACTTTTTGTTCTGAGCGATCGTGGTCGCTTGTAGACGTTGAATGCATGCCGCGCGATACCTATACGTTTGTAAGTGAGTCACACGGGTGCCGCCGTTGGCTCGATCACTGTGTTGTAACAAGCGCAGCGAGGCGCACGGTTGTAAATATGAAAGTATTGTATGACACATATTGGTCCGATCACCATCCTTTGTTTATACAATGTAACTTAAATGTTATTTTGCCTAAAGTTTCAACCAGTGTTAGTTCGCTTAATGATGTAAAATGGGGGTCGAGAGATTATTGTCAAATTCAAGAATATAGCACCTATTGTAATTCTAAATTAAAATTAATTGACTGCCCAACAGAATTTTCTAACTGCGCTGGTAAAGTGTGTAATAATGAGCAACATAAAATACTCTTAATTAAAATGTATAATGAGATTGTCAGTATTCTTACTGAAGCCGCTAAGCTGAGCCGCAAAGGGGTTGCACGGAAACATAAATATGTGATAGGGTGGAATAGGTATGTTAGTGATGCACACAGGAGAGCGAGATTTTGGTTTCAAACGTGGGTGACCTACGGCAAACCTAGTTCGGGGTATATATATAACAATATGACTGAAACTAGAAGAATATTTAAATCTAAATTAAAGCACTGTCAGAACAATGAAACTCAAATTAAGATGGACATTATTGCGAAACACCATTCGAATAAAAACTATGTTAATTTTTGGAAAAATACGAGTAAGTTGAACCCTAAGTCGAGCTCTCCGGTGAGTGTGGGTAGTGTTCACGACCCACACGATATAGCTTGTGCCTTTCAGCGTCACTTCAGTGTGTCATCACCTCTCGGACCCTCGTCGCAAATGCTCGCTGCGGACAGTCGTCCCGAGTATATTAACATCAGGTTTTCCGCTAAGGAGGTTGCCCTAGTTATAAAAAATATGGTAAGAGGCAAATCCCCAGGTCACGACAGTCTTAGCATCGAGCATTTGCAGTATGCGGGCATACATCTACCGAGGGTGCTTGCATTCTTGTTCAACATGTGTATTAGTCATAGCTTTTTGCCAGACGATTTAATGTATACAGACGTTGTGCCTATCGTAAAGGATAAGACTGGCGATTTGTCGAATATGTCTAATTATAGGCCAATTTCACTTGCGACTGTTATTGCTAAGGTGCTGGACAGTTTGCTTGACCGGCAGTTGGAACGGCACCTACAATTACATGACGCACAGTTTGGGTTTAGGCCCGGTTTATCAACTGAGAGTGCTGTTCTCTGTCTCAAGCAGACTGTCCAGTACTATACAGCTAGAAATACACCTGTATACGCTTGTTATTTAGATCTCTCAAAAGCTTTTGACCTTGTTAATTATGACAGGCTGTGGCAGAAGCTACAATGTGATACGAATCTACCACGTGAGATTGTATCTCTATTTAAATATTGGTACAGTCAGCAGAAAAATAGGGTAAGATGGTCGGATGTGCGGTCGGACATGTACAGGTTGGAGTGTGGCGTGAGGCAAGGTGGTATATCCTCGCCTCGTCTCTTTAATCTGTATATGAATGGGCTGATCGGTGAGCTTAGTAGCACAAACATAGGTTGTTCTATTGACGGTGTGTGCATAAATAATATAAGCTACGCTGATGACATGGTGCTGCTGAGCCCATCGATTGGTGCACTACGTAGGTTGATAGGTATCTGTGAGACATATGCGGCGAGTCATGGTCTCAAGTATAATGCCAAAAAGAGCGAGTTTATGATCTTTAAAGCTGGTACCAAATGCTACTCAATTGTACCTCCAGTCACTCTTTGCGGAACTCCTTTAAAGAGAGTTTATAAGTTTAAGTACCTTGGGCATTGGGTCGCCGATGACTTATCAGATGACCTTGATATTGAGAGGGAGCGTAGGGCGCTGTCTGTCCGGTGTAATATGTTGGCTCACAGGTTCGCACGTTGTACCACACCAGTAAAAGTTACTCTTTTCAAAGCATATTGTCAGTCCTTCTACACGTGCAGCTTGTGGACTAACTTTACGCAGCGGGCGTACAGCGCACTACGCGTCCAGTACAACAATGCTTTCAGGATGCTATTGAATCTGTCGAGGTTTTGCAGTGCATCAAACATGTTCGCGGAGGCACGTTGCGATGACTTTTATGCAATCATAAGGAAGCGGAGCGCGTCAATGTCCAATCGACTGCTAAGCAGCACCAATGGCATCCTGAGAGTATTGTCCGAGAGGTGGGATCTTCCAATCCTACAAAGGTGGATGCGTCTGCATGCTAGCGCATCCCCACGATTTATTTTTTAATTTGTTTTGTGTTAATGTAGAACTAACATAGTTGTAAGATTACTGTTACTAACATATCTATGGACTAATGTCTGAAAATAAATAAATTTATTATTATTATATTGTTTCTCTTCCATTTTTTGTTGATCTACAGCTTAGTGACTGCTGAACTCTGAAAGCCAATTCTCTAAATAAAAGTTAGGTCTGACTTCCGTTCCGATCAACTTTCGATCTCACAACTGTCATAAAGGGTATTTTCGTAGTAAAATAGTAAAGTATTACTAAGACTAGCAGATTACCAATTTAATTTTCGGTTACAATACGATATAATAACATTACAATCAGTATATGCTCGTATGTTGTAATATTTAACATAACAAAATACTTTACTACGTAAGTACCTTTTATAACAGTTGTGGAATCGAAAGTAGATTGGAACTAAATTAAGACCGAACTTTTATTACGAGAATTGGCCTTCAGAAGTTGTGGGTTCAATTCCCACCCAGGATTTATTCTATGTCTGGGTGTACATAATATGTTAAATTTATACGAGTATAGTAACGTATATATACCGGTTAATTGATACGTATACATACCAATAGTCTGGTTATCATAGTACAAACTCTGCCAAGGATCTGTTTGCCGTGTGTGAGATGTATAGGTAAATACAATATTTTGTACTATTATTATTTAATGTTATGACTGCATATTTTGTACTATTATTATTTAATGTTATGGGTTCGATCCCCCCATGAAATAAAACTTTGTGTTTTCCACAAATTGTTGTTCTGAGTCTGGTTGTTCTTTGAATGAGTATTTCATGAATGTTTGGAAAGTCCCCTGCGACACAGAATATATTCTTAGTGAGGGATTTGTCTTTAAAATAAAATGTTATCTCTCGACAAACTAAAAAGGTCCATCACCTTCCCCGAAGTAGGAGCGAGAGCTCAATATTGCTATACCGCTTCAGTAATTTATGTCCAAGTCTAAGACGAAGAACCGAGTAATTAATTAGGCTAAAGTCTCCATCATAGAAGTAACAGATTCGTACAACAAAACGCATGTAGACATTTTATGCGGCAGGTGCGGGTGGGGCGCCTGCGAGCACGGCGCGCAAGCGACCCTTACTGGGCGGCGCGCGGGCCGCAATGTCACCGACTAAACGCGCCGTGATGACCCTGCTCGCCCGAGCTAGGGCTGCCACACACAAGCATGCCCCAGCGTGGCCCGCGCCCCACGAGTGAGTATCTTTATTTTTGAGACCATTTATTGAATACCAGCCACTGCCCGCGACTTCGCTGTATTATTTAGAGGTTCCAACTGCTCATCTCTTATTTTATCCCCTTAGGGGTAAAATTTTCAAAAAACCTTTTTTAGTTGGTGCTTACAACATAAAAAACATCAGCTGCTAGGATTTCTAGTTTGTAGCCCTAAAATCCGCGTCGATAAATCAGTTAGTCAGTCAGGGCTAATAAATTTATGTGCATAGAATACCATCACTTTATCAAAGCATATGGTTAAGGGTTTCAATACCACTCAATAAAGTCTCTAATATGAATCAACCTTTAAGATAAGCGGTTTCTTCCTTATATCAAAGTGCAAAATCCCATTTCAATGCTAAGATTCTCTAACTAGTTTTTTATTCCAAAACTATATTCATCTATAAATATTCCTTCAGCATGATTTAACTAAAAAATAAGCAATTAACTTTATAAACAAGCAATAACTTTGAAGGTATACTGAATAGGTAACCTTCTTTAATAAAGAGTAGTGGACACCAATTGACGTCTTTTGAACTCCTACAAGTAAATTAAACGCGTGTGTGGAGTGGTTCATATCTCCAGCGTACTAGATGAGTTTGGAAACCGCAACCCATCTATTTTCTCTTATTTACTTATCTTACTTAAAAAAAGCTTTTTTTAATGTAAATGTACAGTAAAGTAAGAAATAATTCTACTCACTGAATAGAACTATGAATCGCGACACCTCATTTGATAGAATAATAGGAACTAAAACTCAATGTAATTAAAGAAATAACGGCAAGAAATAGCTGATATAGCACAAAGTTCTTCACGATACAAGTAACAAGGACACGTTTCTAACTGAAGTTCTGGTCACCAAGGGAAAACAGTAGTTGGACAATAACTTTCTAAGCACGTGCTTTAAAGTTGGATACCAAATTGTGTTATGTCTTTTAAATTGTATATTTCTCTCATAGTGACACATATAGAGTTCAATAGGCCACATGCAATCAGCGTTAACAAATAGAAACTCCGAATTTTCATGTATAATTGAAATCACAGTTTTGGAGAACATGCCAAAACTGTGATGCGCATAAATTTTGCTAGGGTTTTCACTGGTCCAAAATACTATTCATACCTATTATATCATAATTTACCTAATTCTGATAATTCTATTTAGATTTTGACCAGTTATTAAACGTCAAAGGAAGGGTCCTTTGCCCTGAATACCGGGGGTGAAGACCTAGTATTCTTAAAATGATCATTATTTAATGCATTCAAAATGTTTTCTAATGTCTCTTGATATTACCTATCCAACCCGCGACTAAGGGAGCAAACTACGCAAGACAGCAGCACTGCATAGAGAAGGAAAACTTGAAACAAACCCTATACCAACCCGTCTGGCCAGGGTGGTATAGTAGGCCAAGTAGGCTATTAGAGGATGTTGATGATTACTTTCATATTACGTTACTTATAATAATAATAAATTGTCGTGTTATTGTCTACAAACCAATATTACAAACAGATAATGTAAGAGTATAAAAATGCTAAGTAAAAATAATCCAATAAGGCTTAACTGCCAACCCTAAGGCTAGATAGGGCTGTCAACAAACAAAGCATACGTGCTGAACAATACAGACCGGAGCTCAACACAATCGGTTGTCCGTACGTGACGTACGTAGTTTGTAGTTCAAATCCGGATCTAGTCAAAAAGACAAACAACCCATTATCATACTCATGCATTTATGATTTTTTAGCATCACACACTTCTGTTTATCGCATCAATTGTCAAATTTTCACTGTCTTCCCTTGTAGCCTGCCGTTATCCTATACAATGGCTTGTGTTCTAAGGAGTTTTTCATAACTATACCTGCACTTCCACGGATGAAATATGATAAGACATGTTCTCGACATGACTTTAATTAACTAAAATAACTTCACACATCTCACACACGGCCTTCTAGTCCCAAACTAGGCAGAGCCTGTACTCTGGTAACCAGACAGCTAATAAACATACATTTAAATTTCTATATACATTCATATTGTAGATAACTGACACCTAGACAGAACAACTGATCGTGCTCATCACATAATTATTTATCCTGGGTGGGAATCGAACCCACGACCCCCGGCTTAGCAGTCAGGGTCACTAACCACTAGACCAACAGGGCAGTCCAATAAATTACTATATGTGGTTTTCCATTGATGCACATTTTAATTTTTCCTGGTACTTCCCGAGTCTCATAACTCGGTGTGTTCGTGGGTCACTGCTGTAGAACTCGGTGTACAGGAGTTACAGTGGTGGGATTAGTCCCAATTTCCATAAATGCAATTACAGCATACGCGTCGGACCTATACCTCGACTGGAGCTATACCACGCCCCACCGAAAACCGTTTTTAAGGAATTCTTTTGTTGCATTTCACTGAGTAAGCGATATTAGGTTCCAATACTTAATTACATTTTTCCCATGCTGCATTTTTTCCGAAAGCACTCAAAGGCCAGCTCCACACTTGTGACTGTTTGAATTGCAGATGTTTATTTGTGGCAGTAGTCCAGTAGCATATTTGGTCTACAAATATTTAATCAATGACCAAATATTTTGAAATCGTTTCTTTCAATACTGTTTACAAATGATAGACAAAGTAACAAACATAAAAAATGCTATCGGTTACAAAGCGTTTTATAAATGTCGGTTGTAGCCGCCTTGGTAAATGTGCGATTATCCCAAAGTGCGATTCTAGGTTTCAGTAATAGGGGGGCAATTCCACAAACTGACCACTTAATTAATAAGGCTTCAAAATTGTACACCATTTTTCAACAGCCTCTATTTGTTCATCCAAAAGGTCTAAAAGACAATGAATTCTTGTTATCACTAGTTGCTTTTTATATATTTTGGGAATAGTTAATAATTTTGTCTACATTACTACAGTATACAATGAATACTAGGTATTGAAATAAACCTTAAGGGATTTTTTTGCTTGTTGAAAAAAAAACTATCTGACAAATTGGAATATTTATTTTTGTAGTGGAAAGAGTACTCTTTAAGAGAGGCACATAAAGGCGGGTAAAACTGCAGAGAGCGGCTAATATACCAATATTATACTTTAATATAACACATATCACTATTTAGATCCATACTAGTCATAGCTAAATACTATAGGTTCAAGTAAACAAATAAATATTCTTACTTTTTTTGTAACTACAAACACATTACAAATTATGGCTACGCAAATAGACATGAATAGACATAGAAATTGAACTGGCTTGGCCATTGGTTATTGGTGCTGATTACTGTGCCAGAGGTAGCAGTTTAAATTCCCACCGAAGACAAATATTTGTGCGATAAACACAATCTGTTCTTTGTCTTATTGTAACTTATCTATAAGACGAATGTTTTAAAAAATACTTATAAATAGTTTCTGCCTAATTTACTGACCAATTTACTGACTGAGCATGAATCGACCCTGCAACTTAGTATCGAATGCAAAACCGTGCGGTGTTATATAAGTCTTCACTTATAAAAAAATGTTGTCAATAAATATGAGTGTGTGGTAGCGGATTAAAAATACAGAGTGTCACCACCGCTATTCATCCCGTGGGTGTCGTAAGAGCCGACTAAGGGAGCAAACTACTCAGTACAACAGTGCTGCAAAGAGACAGAAAGCTTCAAAACAAGCCTTTTTTTTTTAACGTGTGGAAACCTCCTCGGGCCGTCACCCCACCGGGGTTTACGGAATCGGACCGACTAAAACCACACGGTATGCCACTCTGCGCCTGTAATAGGAGGGATCCGGGAGCTGCTGTTATTAGGACCTCTGGACCCCTATACCAACCCTTTAGTGGCCCAGAACTTCCTTTCTAAGGAGAGGGCTATGACCAGTAGGGGACTAGTAAAGGCTGTTTATGATGATGATGAAATATGAGATATATAAATAAAGTGGTATTTCTGAATGTGTCATAATAAATACTTTTATTTTTGTTTCAGGCACACAGCCCTTCTACCCCTTATAAGGGATGAGTTCGTGACAGGCGTCGGCGTCAATATCAACCTTGCATAATTTTAAATATTTAGTCAAAGAAAAACCTAGTCTATATCTAGTCGAATCAATAAAAATCGAATTAATTTAAGTAAATAGGATAAATAATTTATAACTACACCAATGCTTGCTTAGACTTACAAAGAATATTCAAAATACGTACCTAAGTTTATAATTTATTTAGGATCGGTGTCTAATATTATTATCTACTTTCTCTCTCTCATTTAATATTTCATCACTTACTCCCTCTTTAGATGCGTCCTTTTTCACACAGTCCATACACCTTTTTTACAGCCCTTTACTTTGATACTTCAATTAAAATAAACGAAATTAGATAATTAAAAATATTAAACAAAACATCAGACTAAAGCTTCTCTATGCAAAAATAATTCTCCTGAATCTTATGATAAAAAGTCAATATTAATTTTACTTTATGCAATGTGTGGACGAAAAATTGGTTTTATGAAAGTAGATTACCATTTTTATATTTTACCAATATCTGTTTATGCTCAACATTTAAAAAGGTTTGCAACTCAACATTTTTGAATATTGAGCAATTGTCAATTTTAAAAAAATCGACTAATTTTAAATATTAAAATTTGTGTATTGTAGTAAATGACTCTGTTACAATATCCCAAAGAGAAAATTAATTAAGGATGAAAAAAGTGACGAATTAAAAAAAAAATCATATTTCTACCTTGTGACGTTAGTATTCCTTTGGTATATGCTAAACATGTCAAGCCTAGTTTTTTGTATATTAATGTCTTTTATGGATATATCAATTTAATTTAAAATTCTTACTCAAACCTAATTATGTATATAGAAATAAGAACTGACATAAAACTCTACCTTTACTGGCAAAATATTTTTTAGATTCCTTATCCTCGGCCTCGGTAGTCAATAGTATCCCTATTTTTTTTACGAAATGATTTACAGATTTTTATTTTTTATGACAATTTCAGTGAGTAAGTAGATAACTTTGAACATCGGCTCCTGGCAAATGATGATACCAATACTGTATCACAGTTGGCAATTTTCTGCGTAAGAACAATGCATCAAAACAACATTATTATAACGTCTAGCTGCCATTTTAAATTGCTGAAGCAAATTCAGCCAAGCTTGGCAATTAGTAGCGATTGATCGCCGGTCACTGATGCTCAAAGTTGTTAACCGAATCCCTAAAATAAACTTTCAAATTATTATATAATATATTCAATCTATTAATTGAATCCCGAGAAACTAGGGCTTCTAGTAATTAATTAACGGACCACTGTGTATTTAATATCCTATGCCTTCTAGAGGAAGTATTGTATATAGAGAATATATCATTATAATATATAGCGGTAAGCAAAACTTTAACAGACGACGATATATTATTGTAATAATAGTGAACCTATATATCAGAAATATACAAATAATTCTAAATTATATAATGTCGGTCGTAATTCAAATTACAAATGTTTATGAAAATCAATAACGTGAAAAAATTTAATGGTTATAATAATTACACTATACTTTTCAATTAACAGTTAAAGAAATAAAATTAAATTTGTGAAGAAATAATTAATCCACAGCTGTTGTTTTGTACAAATTGATGTTTTTTGATCGTGTGGAAGCCTACAGAGGGAACCTGTGTCTGCAATGTTAGAATAAAACCAAGTATAACCATGCGGAGTTCTGTCAAGTAGGTTCATTGCCAAGGACATCTTAGCATCCACATAATCAACTGGCAACTCCACTATAGAGTGTGGGGTCTTTGACCCCTCTCTAATAGAATGCGTGCCTAATTACTAGTTCTTTTTTTAATTTCACTGTTTTTCATATTATGAAGTAATAGTTATTGTTTAATTGATTTTAAACTAATTATATGCTGTGTCGAAATGGTAAACACAAGGCAAACTTAAGGAGTGCACCTTAATAACTTAACTGCCATCGTGTTAAAAAAAACTAATTATATATTTATAATGTAATTTGAACTATAGCCTTCATATTAAAGATAACATTATAATAAAAATAATTGTATCTACTTATTAATGTTACCGTGACAATTATTAGAGGAACGGAATAGCACAGTGCACCTTGTTTTAAATATTCCTTTATTCAATTACAGTATTTAAATAAAATATGACAGGCACTATTATTAAATCGATTAAAAGCACAAGTTTTATCAATAGAAGTTTGATAGATTTCAATAATAATTATAATAACGTATTATTATTATTAATGTTTACAAGTTTCGAAGTTTTCCTAAAGGCTTACAACAGGCATGACAATTTCAACGGTGGAAATTTATATTAACAATGTAATTAGAGGATCTTAATAAATATATTTCATAAATTTTAGAAAAAAATATGTTAAATTAATCAATTAAAATGTAGTTTAAGATTAATTAAGCAATTAAATAGAATAACGAACGATTAAAGCTTTGTCCACGTGCAGTTAAAGTAGTAGGAATTAAAATAAGTATTAAACAAAATATTTGAAAGTGATAATTACACGAGAATTCTATTTTCATTATTTTGATTTATCGTCAGTTAAAATCACGTAACACAAAACTTACTTTAAAAGTCATACATCCGCGATGTCATTTTCAAATATTTATAAAAACCTTCTAAATCGTACTTTAAATGAGTGTCAAATAATTTTAAATGTATGTGTTAACTGTATGTAAGCTTATACGTTTATAATAAATAACAAAAGTATTATGAATGTAAATAATAATTATAATGTTTAATCGCTTAAACATTTCGTCTGTGTTTTGTGATAAATAGTTAGACAATTCATAACGTTTATTATTGTCATCGACATAAAATATTCATAATTGATGTAAGAGTTGTAATTTTTTTTTTAATAAATATAAAATAAAAATTACGACAAAATTAGTTTCACAAACATTGTCTCCATTTTTAATTTTTTGTAGCGTATTGTAATTTTGTGTAACATTAAATATAAATATGCATTATAATAGTCAATGTTTAGATTCTATGACACCAATGTTTTTAAACATTACTATACACATATTTTATCTGTATTTCTGTATATAATCAAATAATATATCGTAAGTCTTTTGCAAATAATCGATTGTGTAAGACTCCTATTTTTTGGTGCATAAAGTTCGAAATCGCAAGGTCTTCCACTCAATGCGATGCTTTGATGTTTTTCTATCGTTTATTTTCCATAAATATTCTGTGTAGATTATAATTAATATATACTGATGCAAGATGTGGGAACGGTGTTTTAGTAAATCAATCCGACGTTAAAAAGTATAAATAACGTATTTTCTTTTTTTAATTTAAACACTAAAAACACCGAGTCTCTTTTAAAACATCATTTACTATTTTAATAACCAATAGAAACATATATAAATAGTCATGAAATTTATTAACTATTTTTTTTTATTTTAAATACTTTCTGCTCCATGCATATTTCGTGTGTTTTCTTTCATTTTGTTTCATTCAAAATTTTAATACCATTCATTCATTCATTCATAATCGATTATTTCTTTTGAATCCCCATGCATGCAATAACCCATTTGCATCTCTGTAGAAAAAACAATTAACCGAGCGCATGAGACATAAACCGGCGATAAAAGACCACTGTGCACTGTGACTGGAGTTGTAAAATTTATTAACCTTATAAAACAAGCAAGTTTAGTATATAAAGGCTAGATTTAAAACATCGTTCCCTTTACAATTACTGTTTGTTTTACGAGTGTGCACTGAACAAGAGTAGAAATAAATATGATGATAGAAAATAATTGTTTTATTTAACCCAGTAACGACCATAGAGATAATACTCGTATATACGGCGATTTACATCGGTAGAAAGAGATAGAAGACGGCGATTTGCATGCGTCTCTCTCGCACCTCTTCGCTGATTAGTTCTTCTCTTCTTTCTCTTTCTACCGATATCGCTATTCTACTACTTACAGGAAATCCAATACCTTCTTCCCTTTATCTGTATTATCTTTATAGTAACGACACATAAAAACAGTTACTAAACTGATATTTCAATAGTACTGTTAGATTTGGAGCCTCTTGGACGTGTAAGTACCTGAACTTTCTAGAAGAAACCTTTACCAGAACATATTTCTTCTAATATTTTTTCTAGGTCACTACGAATCAGTGAGGCGGGATGACGCAAAAAGGTTTTACGATTACGACGCATATTTAACACCTATAGAACTGTTTTATTACTTAGTGACGTTGGCAAATTGAAATTTCATTGTTATTCATGAATACTCTGTAAAAGACCAACAACACATTCTGTAAAAACAAACAATAAAAGTCTCAAAACATTTCGTACGTGACTTTTTGTCGAATTTAAAAGTACGCGTATTGTTTACGAATCCCCTCCACACACACAGCCCCCACCTCCCCTCCACACACACATCTCCCCCCCCCCACACACACACACACACTTACAGACAAAAACAAGAAATCTTGTTCTTATGTAATTGGCTTACAGTCTACCGCTTCACTGCATGATGAAGCAGTATATAGTATTTTGTATGTATATTACTTAAATCACAACTAGATCATTTAGCTATTGCTGGGACTAATGTCGATGTCGCCAGGATGTGGGCGTTAGTGACTGCGCCACAGTTTTTAACTACTGCAGTCACTATCGAATTCATTTTTTTTTTTTTGTAAATTCGTTTGTTATCAGTTCCAAAATAAAGATTTTTATTTTTATTTATTTTTAATTGTAAAAAGTACGCTCACTACCAGCGAGTTTTCATCCTCCCTAGCAGGTTTCTTTGAGAACATATTTTTAATAAATTAAATGAGATGTAGAATAGAACAGATCATTCCCTCAGTTCCCCTGTGTGTCGTTAAAAGAGGAAAATAAGAAGGGCGAGAAAGTAATGTATCATTTGTTGCGAATATTATAATCCCGAGTAATTTTGTTTTGGCGCTGACTAAAGTAGCACTTGCAAACAGGATTAGATTGTTGTTGATTATACGAATAGAAATCAACACAAAAACATTCGTTATCCTTTATTACATATCTCAAAAACT